CTCTCCTCTCCAAGCTGCATTGCTCAGGGGAGGGGCAGGACCAGCCTTGCAATCATTAATGAGAATTGGATAGATTTATAATTTAACATGATATCCCTTTTTATGTTTTCAAATTATTTCATTTTTCATAGCATAAAGACAACATACAAACTGAAACAGAAAACTTAACCTAGCTATAATTATCATTAAAAGATAATAACCTTATTAACAGACCACAGTAATTATAATAAATAGGGACAATTCTGAATAAAAGAACTAGATGTATTGAACAATTTAGATCAAATTAAAACTGGTAACACATCAAGATTCATATGTGTAAGTTAAGCCATTTCTCAGCAATTCACCTTTATTTTATTGCTGATGACATGCATTTGTTAAGTTTTACTGAGTATTTAACCAGTGAAACAAGCTAGAGGAAGACTATTGAGGGATCAACAAAACAATGTAGTAAGTGCAAAATGTTTGCAAATGAAGATTAAAAACAAACACGCAGCAAAAGGTTAAAACTACGCAGTTTAAAATAGTGGTTTTCAAATTGTGGTCCACGGACACCAATGGTTCTGCAGATTATATGTCTAATCGATCCATGAAAGGCAACTATGAAAATAAAGTTAAAATCCCAGAAAAGGCATTCTATTTTTCTAATCAATCCAAAGTATACAATTACCCCCACCTACTGGTTAAAACCCCAAAGTGTTGTTGTTATAGAAGCCCACACCCTTTTCTTTTGCCGAGTCAAATGCCATGCGTACATTATAGTTACATTTGGTTCAGTCAGTTTCAGGCCTAACACTAGTGTAGTCAGGGTTCATACACCATCAGTTGAATTTCCAAAGAGGTCCTCAATTTGGACTTTTTTAGGGGTCTGCAAAGTCCCCAAAGTTACAGAGTCTCTGGTTTTGCTGCCACCATTCAGATGCAAAAACACTTTGAGAATCAAAGAAGGAGCACGTTGGAATTTCTTCCTGTGAGACACCCTCAAGATCTTTTAACTCTTCAGTTACTCTTAGTAGTTTGGATATGCAGTCTTGAATATGTGCACACACAATCTCTCCGCTTTCTAGGATATAGGAATCAGATCATGTTCTTAAAAGAGAGTGATTTTTATTTAAAACCCCACATTTAGTAAAATATTATTTGCTTCCGAGGTGTTCCAGAGCAAACAAAAAATGAATTAAAAATAGAGAGAAGTGCTTCCCTGGAGGACAGCTTGGAAAGCTACAGTATAAGAGGGTAGTAAAGTGTGCTCAGCACAGAGAAGTCCAACAAACACAAAAATAAAGAAAATAACCTGATCACATCTGACTAAACATTCCCTGTTCTACTCATATATCTGTAGTTGCAACACTTAGGCCTTCCCTAGACATGGACATCACTGGATTCCCCATGCCTGGCTCTTTACAGGTCCTTAAAGGAGCTCTTTCCTGGCCAATAAAGGAAACAGGAAAGGCTGCTGTTTCCAATTCAAAAAACATACTCTGTTTTCACTGGCTCTCCTGGCCAATTGCCAATTCACTGCCTGCTTCTCTAAGACTTACTAATACTCATTGCCTATGGCAAGGCAATTAGGTCTAAAGAGTTAAATTTTTTTCTTAGTAATTGTTAGTTACCTGAATGGCTGAACACATCCAGAAAACGGTGCTAACTCCTTCTCCCTTCATTCACCATAGATGTTTTCTAGTTTTATTCCTTAAGGATCACTGAATATCAGACCTTATTTCCAAATGCCTACTTTGTTGACCATTTACATATTAAATAGAAGCAGATTTACAAAATTTTTACAAAAGTATTAGGACTGAACAGAAGACTTTTTCCTGAGTGTGCACAAATTGTTCATGCTCCAATATACTAATGTGTATATATCTCTGCTTACTGATTCCCTTGCACATGGAGATGTGCAGAAGGCAATGACGATAGTTTTGATTTTTGTCTGAGATTTAATTCTCCTGGGTTATTTGCAGTGACATTCTGCTGGAATGAGATTATTGCTGAACTTCAAACAGCTTTATGAGACTAATATATCTAAGAAGTTATTTCACCAATTTCTATCTCATAATGTATTATATTGCATAAGGAGAGGCTCAAACCTGAGCCAAAACATACAAATTCTAGAATTTAACACAAAACAGGAATCTAACAAATAGGTACAACTCAATTTCTTTCAGGTTAGGTTTTTTTCAGTTTAGGTTAATAATATTAAACAAACTAGGTTCAAACCCTAATCAAATCTCCACAGCTTTTCATTTAACTTCATTTTCCTTTGATTTAAAGGATCCAGCCACAGCTCTGATGAAGGGGCAGCACTACAGAAAAGAGTCTAGCTCATCACAGTTTCTAGCTCACTTTCTAGGCTCATCTCAAAAGCCACCACAATTTAGCACAATTAGCAGTGCCCGATCTATGACTCTAAGATGTATTCACAGAGTTGGGTGGAAAACAATATAAGAATGGCCATACTGAGTGAGATTAGTGGTTCCATCTTACTTAGTATCCTTTATTCTGATAGTGGCCAGTGACAAAAGTTTCACAGAGAGCAAACAGAACAGGGCAGTTTATAGAATGATCAATCCCCTGTTCTGGCACTCCAAGATTTAGGGACACCCAGAACTGCACCCCTGACTGTCTTTGGCCAGTAGCCATTGATGGACCTATTCTTTTTGGACCCCATAATGTTTTAGGGCTTCACAATAATATTTTTGGCAATGAGTTCTACAGGTAGCCTGTACATTGTATGAAGTAGTACTTTCATTTTGTTTGTTTTAAACCTGTTGGGTATTCAGTTCATCAGATTACTCCTGGTTCTTGTATTATGTTTTCCACTTTGTTCATATTCATGATTTTATAGACTTCTATCATATCCCACTCTCAGTAAACTCTTTTTTAAACTGAAGCTCCAAAACACTTTGGAGAGTAATATTCGGTCTTAGTGACTTATTACCATTTAATCTTTGTTCAGCAACTAGTGCCAGCTATTGCAAATGTCAATCATATCTATAAATACTCCTTTCACTCAAACTATTTTAAAAAGGAAAAGAAATCAAATGCTGTTCATGAAGAATTGGCATATTGCTTCTTAACTAAGTAAGAAACACACATGTACAGATATAGACAGTAGACCAGGACAATAATAATTTTTAGTATTGTTATTATAAACTGCTAACCCAGTATGTAAGAAACATCAATAGCTATATACTATTACAAAAAGTTGAAGTACTTCTAAAATTAAAAGTGGTATTAGGGGAAGAAAGATTATTTTGAAATGAAGCCACAAGTTTGCCGTTGACTTCTTGTAATACCTTGGACAAGTTATTTGACCATTGCATGTCTCATTTCTTCCCCATGCTCAACATTTTAGCTATGGAGAAGAGTGCTGAGCCCCTTTTTTATAATTTTATACAAATACACACAAGTCCAGATTATGCTAGCTGCTTTACAGAACAAATTAAGAGGTAAGATGCCTGACCCAAAGTGTTTACAATTCAGTTTAGCCTCACTCACTGCGGATCTAACATATACTAGATGTTAATGACAGACACAGACAATACAAAATTAAGTCATGTGGTTATTTGGTTACGGTATGTGCACATCTTAATGGTTCAGTAAATTTAATAAAAAATGTCCTGTGGAAGATAGAGTCTGGGCTAGGAAAGCAACCATGGATTAGGAGAGATATTTTAGATGGGTCCCATGGCAAGGGGAATTCTCCACCATTAAATTTGTACCTGCAGATATCTCCACTTTCTACATCTGAATATTGCTGTCTGTAACACTCATTTCCAGTGAGAATACTTCTGTTATTGTGTAGTAAACAACTATGGATTGATTTTCATTTTAAATATATACTGACTTTTTGGATAAGAATATTTATAAACAGAAGAGGGTATGAGAGGCAACATTTCCAATTCAGAGAAGTCAGGAAAAAAAAGCTACACGGTCATTAACACATATAAATAGGTATACAAAATAACCTAACTACTTTGAAACAAAAAAAGTCAATTTAATCTTATAAAAGCATGCAGAGTTGACAAGTTTCAAGGAATACACGATTATAGTTAAAACTTACCTGTAAACAATTCTCTCTCTGTGTAAGTCCTCCAAGCCGCAGCAAAGCTCTGCAGCATAGAAAACAGCCCTTTCTTCATCAAAGCCAGAATTTCCCATGTTGTAAATGTGAAACTTCAAATCCCCTCCATTCATAATGGTTAATACTAAACATAGGGCATCTTTAGTCTCATAGGTGTAGGATAAACTAACCTAAAGACAAAAAATACTTGCTGATTTATGCATAACCCTGAATGTCATCCCTTTTTTCTAATTCAATCAGTAGATAGCTGATTAGAAAAGAACTAAGTAGGCAATAGTTAATACTGCTAATATTATGTTGCAGATAAGCAGACATTTTTTACTTTTCCAGGGAGTATGGGAAAAGCCAACAAATCATCACCATTGTTAATTTTGTGGCAAAAGATTTGAAACTGACCATTAGGACCAAAACTACAGTGTGATTAAAACTTGTAGAGTAGAATGGCTTATACTCCATGCAACACCATCCCGACACTGGATCACTTATTACCAGTGCCATTCAATTGTCAATTCCAATTATGTGAAGATAATAACTTGCACAGAGTACCTTTCAATGAACACTTAGAAATGAATAATCACTGTAAAAAAGTGAGACAGAGAAGAAGAGACACTGTAAATTACTCAAGGTCAGAGAGGGTCAATGACAGAACAAGGTATATTACTAAGAATGCCCAAGTTCAAGTCCCTTACTCTAGCCACTTGACTAGTCTTTTTTTTTTTCTTTTAATAGTGGCACCCTCTAATAGTGAAATGAAGAACTGCATTAAACCAAGCATATCTCCTCTCATTGGTTGGCTATAGGCACAGTATCCAGAACAAGGCATCAGCAGGGCAAGCAGAGAGTTGAAAAAGCCATAGAGGGCAAAGGAGACAAACTAAATAAAAATACCAAGTAGAAAAAAGCTACATCAGAACAGCCACAGGAATCTGCATAGCATTCTGCATACAAAATACATCTCAAAATGCTTGATTAAATTCAGAGCCAACAGAAACACCGAACACTAATTGTCCAACAAGTGAAACACTCAGTCATGATGTGAATCCCAAACACCTGAAGTATGTCTATACTGCAATTAACAGCCTGTGCCATCTGACTCAGAGTCATGGGGCTTACTTTGTGAGGCTGGAGCCCAGGCTCTAGGAAAGGAGTAGGCAAGATGTGTCCCATCGGTCAAATGCAGCCCACCAAGCCTTTAAATCCAACCTGCAGCCCACCCCTCCAGGACCCTCAGGCATGGAGTAGCCTCACACCATGAAGCGACTGGCTCTCAGCAAATTCACGTGGGAAAGTAGAGGCTTCACACACTGCCTTCACCTCCAACACAATCTCTCAGCTCCCGTTGGCTGAGAGACTGTGCTGGGGGCAGAAGCAGCACATGAAGCCCTCCCACCCCTGCAAATGGTGAGCATAGAACACATGCCCTCCACAGCCAGCCACTTTGAGCAGCATGTGAAAGTGCAGAAGTCAGGGAGCCTGTCTGAACTCCCATTAGCTGCTGGCCAGCAACCACCTAAGTAAATGCCTGCCAGCCAAATCCTACATCTGACACCACATCTCATTTCATATCCCAACTCCTTACCCCAAGTTATCACCCCTTTCTGCCCCAGCTCACCATTCAAACCCTCTGCACCCCCTCTCTCCCAGGTCACAACTCCCTCCCAGACCCTGCAACTCTTCCCACACTCCTCCCCCACACCAGATTCCTCTTCTGCACCCATATCACCACCTGGACCCTGCACTCCAATCCCCTGCCTCAGATCACAACCCCTTTCTTTTCTCAAACTCCCTCTGACTCCCCTCCCTCTTCTGCACCTCAATCCTCTACCCTTAGCTCCCTTCTACACCTGGCCTCTGTCCCAGACCCTCTCCATTTAAAAGTGCAGCCCTTGACCACTTACCAACATTTTAGAGTGGCCTCCTAATAAAAAATTATTGCCCAATCTTGCTCTGAGACCCTGCAAGCTGAAAGAGTCCCAGAGCCTGAGCGCCATCATGAACCCAGAAGTCTGCTATAATGAAACAGCCCTTTAGCCCAAGCTCTGGAAGCCGGAGTCAACTAGCCCAGGCCAAATGCAGGTATCTAACTGCAGTGTGGACAGAGCCACAGATAAAAAAGGATTATGTGCTTTCAGAGATTTTTCAAGAGATTAAAAAAAAGAAAGTTGATGAGATAAAGAAATACAGGAATGCTGTTCCAGACCACACAACTGAAGAAGGAAGCCTAGTACCTGTGGCAAGATTGTGCGAGAAGAAATAAGACTGGAGAGATAGCCTGTGGCTATTTCAAGACTACAATTCCTGCTCAGGCCAATACTCAAGTTAATTAACTGGCAATTATGCTCCACAAACATTTGTTTCAGTAAACAGAACATTGTGGCTTACCCTAGAACGTACATGGTCAGAGTTCAACAAATCAAGCAATCTACTCTCCCGTGGTGAGTAGATTTTAGCCCGCCCGGGCAGTGCAATCTGCGCGTGCGCTTCTGCGCGGCTGGCAACCAGGACTCACCACCACTTGGTGAGCCCTGCACGTGGTCTTCATTGGTATTTATAAAAGTTTTAAGCAATTAACTGGCAGTTGATTAACTTGCATTATTAGAGTAAAATCTCTAGTCTAGATATATTCTGTGTGAGGAAAAAGTCTGTGGAAATAATTAAAACATGCAAAAGGCAGTTTTGAACAGGTTTCTAGTCAATGTATCTG